AGTTGGATCCTCCATAATTGTTGTTACTTGAAGTATTGCCAGAGCAGTTTTCACTAGAGAATGATGTTTTGTAGTTTCTTCCTGTTGATCCCTTTCCACTATTATTAGAAGAGTTCACATTCAAGGAAATCGATTCCATAGGGGTTTGATTAGCAGGTTTAAACTCCCTTTGTTTCTCCTCTTGAATCATCAAGGAAAAGGCTTGTGCCATTGTTGGAAGGGGATTCATCATAAGAATGTTGCCTCTTATCACAGTATACACCTCATTCATCCCCATTAAGAATTGTATCAAGCGTCTGTCTTGTTCTGCTTTGTATAATACATCTTTGGCTCCACAACTACAAGCACAAGAGCACTCATTCTTTACATTCAAAGTTCTCAATTCTTCCCAAAGCTTTTTCATCCTGGTGTAGTAGACTGTTATATCCAAATTTCCTTGTGTGAGATCATTAATCTCCTTTTGAATTTGATACAACTTTGCTCCATTTGTTTGGTCATATCTATCTTCAAGTTCCTTCCAAAGTTTCACTGAATCACTAACATACTCTACACTATCTGCAATTTCCTTAGTAAGAGAGTTTAAAATCCAGGAAGTCACCATGTCATCGCATCTCTGCCATTGATGCAACTGATTTGAGCTTGCAGTTGGTGTAACACAACTACCATCAATGAATCCAAGCTTGTTCTTTACTGACAAAGCTCGCATAACTCCCCTTCTCCAGGATCTATATCCTGTTCCATCGAATTGAGTTGGTACCAACACCATACCAGGGCTATCCGAAGGGTGTATTTAGAGAGTGTTGTGTGCATCACCATTAACAGAGGTTCCTTGTGCTGAAGGAGCACTTTCAGGTCCTGTCATGATGAAGGATCGACTGGATCACAGGAAAAACAATTAAATAAGAAGAATCAATAGCAGATTCAAATCAAAAGTAGCAAGAACAGCCTTGCTCTGATACCATATCAAACTGATCAACAATGGTGATTTACACCAAAACAGAAAGGAACCATAACAATTGATTTAGGAAGAAGAAGAAGAAGAAGAAGAGGAGGAAGAAGGAGGCATCGTATGTGTTGAATTGTAGAAGATGCAGACTGCTATCTTCATGTATTGATTCTCATATATATACAAGAGAATTGTAATCACATATCCAACAAATACAAAAGATATGAAATACAAAATGTGTGACTAACTAACTTTCAAAAATCTAACTAACTTGATGTGACATCCAACTAACACTCTAACTAACATAACTAACATAACTAACAAACTAATCATAATTATATTGTTAATAAACATTATGAACTATGAGCATAAGATGGTGCTTTAGTATTAGGTCCGGAACATTGAGTTTTTCTTATTAGGGTGGAAAGTTAGAGTCTCGATACCTTAGGTTGTGATTAGGGTATTTAGGTAAAAAGTTGAATTTTTGGCCTAAATGGGTTGAGAGGGGATTTTTTGGTCATAACATTTTTTAGTGAAAGTCGATGATTTAATTTATTTTAGAAAACATGTTTAGTGATAACTTTTTGGTTCTTGTTAATAAGGTTATAAATGAAATTCGAGGGTCAAAAAGCTGTTTTAAAGGTGTTGAAGCATATTTGTAGCGATGGAAAATGGGTTTTAGCGACCAAATCGTTGAGTTAAATATTAAGTCGAAACCATTTCTTAATTTTGACATTTTGGGAGCTAGAAATGTCCGTTTAATGTGATTTCCTCCCGTCTTTTTGGCCATTGTGTGCTCTTATTATTACTTTTCGAAGTAAGTTACTACCAAATAATTAGAATATATATAATGTAACTTATTTTCTAGTTTACTTCAGTTTTAGCATCTATAATTATAATATCAACAATTGTGTAGCCTAGTCTATTTTCGTAAAGTCAACAAGGCCTTATGTTTACCGTTGTTCCAAGACCTTGGCTTATACCACCATAGCAATAGCATAAGAAGAATCCGCATAAGGTAATATTCATTCATTGAATTTACATGCCAAAGATTTATCATCTCCATGGGATTAAATCCTGAGTTATTGCGAAGTAAAAGATCGATGAGATTATGGAAGTAAATATTCTTGCATTTATTGCTACAGCACAATTTATTCCAGTTCCTACCGCTTTTCTACTTATCATTTATGTAAAAACAGTCAGTCAAAACGATTAATTATTAACTAATTTGAATGAAACTTGACTTCTGAGTTCTTAGCCAAAATTGACGAAATAAAATGAAAAAGATTCCAATTTCATGTCTTAAATGAAATGAGTGGACTAAAATCGGCAGTATTCTAATAGATAGATAGTATGGTAGAACGATTCATCTATTTCTTTCTATCATACTGTTTATTAGTTAGATTCTTGTTATAAAGCTGCCCCCTGGAATAAAATAAAGATAGAGGCTATAGTTATTACTAAAGAAAAACATCAAAACGAGGGATGACATATACACATCGCAGTAAAAAACTTCAGCGCTTCCAAGAACAATGCAACCAAAATAATAAGGGAAGCCTTTAGTCAGTTCGAAGGAAGACAGTGTAATGTAACCTTTTACAAAGGATTTGCTTACTTCATTGGGTATGTCACCAAGAACGATAAGGAACCCCACGTATGGGGAGAATTCTCAAAGGAAGAAATCTTGAGCATTGGAGAAAAAGCAAGGAGCAAAAAGAAAGCAAATACAAAACCCGTTACAGAAATACTACAAAAAATAAACGAGTGCCAACAACGGTTAGATATATACAGCTACACAGAAATCATAGAAATAATTCTATACAGAACACGCAGTAACGTAAAAAGAATATTCCAGGACCTTAAGATTCTAAAAGAAAGCAAAGAAAGCGCTTTACAAAGAATACAGAGATATCTCGACCAAATAGAAGTCGAGAAAAGGGGAATCCAGGAATATGAGCCAGAAGAAATAAAAGAAAAGTACCCACGAAAATTAGAAACTATCGCATCTGTACATGAATAAAAAAGATGCAGACATCAAAGATAGTTGTGAGGAAAAATCAACTTAAGCTAAATTATCAAAATAAGAGTTGAAAAAGAAAGTGACTCATTTTATTTGATAGCAAATTTCATTCTTGTACAATATATAAGTAGATAAAACGTGATTATAATATTATCCATCATCGAATACATTCCTTTATTCGCATCAAACAACAATGAGTCGATATTTTATCCACTCATATGTAATATATTTTCGATTCACCGATATATGATATAACTCGTCCATTATCCTTCACTAGTCATGTCACATGACAAATGCCATAGTTAATTACAAAGAAGTTCACAAAATTGGTTTAGAAAGTTTTTGAATTTTTAACTGTGACACAGTAGGGATGTCAGTCTTTGGGAAAGAAAAGGTCTAGGGATTTGAGATCGAAGGGGATTGGGGCTTTGAAAAGCTTGGAGTTTGGGTCTTTGAAAAGCTAGCGGCTTGGTGCTTTGATAAACTAGGGGTATGGGGCTTTGATAAACTAGGAGTCTCGGGCTTTGAGAGAAAAGGGGTCTTGGGTTTTGAGAAAGAAAGTATTTCAGGCTTTGAAAAACTAGGGGTCTCTGGCTTTTAAAAAGAAGGGATCTCCGGCTTTGAGGAAGTAGGAGTTTGGGGATTTGAGAAAGAAGGAATCTCGGACTTTAAGAAACTAGGTGTCTTAGGCTTTGTGAAAGTAGGGGTATCGGGTTTTGAGAAAGAAGGGGTCTTGGGCTTTGAGAAACTAGGGGTCTCGGTCTTTGAGAAAGAAGGTTTCTGTGGCTTTGAGAAAGAAGGGGTATCGGGTTTTGAGAAAGAAGGGGTCTTGGGCTTTGAGAAAGAAGGTTTCTGTGGCTTTGAGAAAGTAGGGGTATCGGGTTTTAAGAAAGAAAGGGTCTTGGGCCTTGAGAAACTAGGGGTCTCGGGCTTTGAGAAAGAACGTTTTTGTGGCTTTGAGAAAGAAGGGATCTCCGGCTTTGAGAAAGATGGTTTTTCTGGCTTTGAGAAAGATGATTTGTCTGGCTTTGAGAAAGAAGGGGTCTCTGACTTTGAGGAACTAGGGGTCTTGGGCTTTGTGAAACTAGGGATCTCGGGCCTAGAGAAACTAGGGGTCTCGGGCTTTGAAAAACTAGTGATTTTGTGATTTGAGAAAGAAGATTTCTGTGGTTTTGAAAAAAAAGGGGTCTCGGACTTTGAGAAACTTGGTGTCTCAGGCTTTGAGAAACTAGAGGTCTGTAGAATTTGACGTGCACTTGTAGTAGTTATCATGTTGTCATGCATGAAGTAGATGAATGCAAGCAATAAGATTGAGGACATGTAGTTATGTTGAGCCATTTTTCTGCAGATGGAAGAAGCTTTGACAAAGTATGTGTTTAGAGCAAATGAAAATTTTATATTGTAATGGTTTTCTATTTGTCTATATATATAGGTTTTTAAGATGCATCCATAAAGGAGGATTTCACTCATTGATATGTTAGTTGACCTACATGTGTGCCAATATTATAGTATCTAGAATTTGTCTTACGATATTAATATTGTAGTATCTTTAATATTTCTAGAATAAAGGAATCCCCAAATCACTAACTTATCTTAGATAATGATGGAAACAAATATTTCTTAAAATACTTATTATTTATTCATCACCTTTCAATTATTAATAAAAAAAATAATTTATATGTCTTTTCTATATTTGTATCTTTTCTCTTTGAATAATATTAAATAAGAAAAGGGTATTAGAGAGATACCTCATGCCTTAATCAAATATAGTTGAACTTGGCAGTAATGTTGGTTCCCCATTTTAAGAACTATAATCGTTAAATATTTGAATAAATATTTTTAGAATAAAACCATAAAACTAACTCACTCATATTTGATAAGGCATGTTTAACTTAATATCGTGTTTTAATTTTAAGTTGAATTAAGTAGTGTATTTTTATTCTAAAAATATTAAAGTAATTATTGATTCGTTAATTTGTTTCGGAGAAACTATTAAATTTAAAAATTTGAATACTTAGAAATTGTGATCAATGCTATACAAAATATATAATATAGTAAATTGCTATGACAATTTCTTTTTTTCTCCACGATGTAGTGATAGTGTCAGCATAAACTCTATCCTCTCCAAATTTTATTAGCGGGATTTCACCGGATATGTATGGATTTCAGTATTCTTTCATGTTTCATCTCATATTTTAGTTGAATTCATTTTAACACTTTCCTTATTCTATGGTTTTTTTGTGTTTCCTTTCTCTTTCGTGTTTTTGAAAGAAATCGATCACACCTATTAAAGGTTACCTAAATAGTATGTTAAACATGAATTAGATGACTACTAGTTCAAAGATAGACTCTTTGTTTTAAGGAACAACAAAACCAAAAGGGCTGCATGTGCATCTCAATAAGGTGACGAAAATCAACTTTGCATAGTAAAATAAATGAATAATATTTGTATTTTAAATAAAAAACACTACAATTAAAAAGGACTACCAACGTAACTCATCGTTATGATGAGAACGAGGTGTGTGCAGCTTACAAAGAAAAAAAATGTGAATTAACAAAACTTTATTTTTGAAAGAAATCAATCAAACCCACTAAATGTTACCTAGACAGCACGCTAAACATGAATTAGATCACTACTAATTGAAATATGGAGTTTTTTTAAACGAATAACAAACCCAATTGGCTTGTTTGAAAATCTCATCGAGGTGATGCGAATCAATTTTGCGTAGTAAATTAAATTAACAAACTTATCTCATCGAGGTGATGAGAATTAAGTGTACGTAGTAAAATAAATAAACAAACTTTGTATTTTGAATAAAAAGTACCAAACTTTAAAAGGGCTACCTAATAGCTTGAAATGAGAAATAATAAACTTTAACTTTTTTTGTTTTTGAATAAGGATAATCACTGTTTGTTAATGAGGATAGTAACTTTAAATTTTGTTGAACAAGAATTTAATATTCTTTTTACTGTTTTGAACTTAAATCAGCGAACTTGAGAAAACATGACTAAAAATTTGAACTTATTGGATGCAATCAAGACATTTTCATCTTACAATTTTTTTTACTACACTATATACCTCATAAATGTTTTCCTTAGTTAACGCTATAGAGCCTATAGGCTTGTAATGTCCCATTTAATAAGAAAATAATTTTATTTGTGATTTGACCATTTTTCCCTCCCTTTAATTTTTTATGTTGGTATATGTTGCGTGAATGATAAGTATTGTCGTGGATATTCGGGTGAGATTTTATTGGATTTGAGCCATTGAGTTGAATTATACTAAAATAGTTGATTTTGGTCAACATTATGAAATATGAGCATAAGATGGTGCTTTAGTATTGGATCCGTAACATTGAGTTTTTCTTATTAGGGTGGAAAGTTAGAGTCTCGATACCTTAGGTTGTGATTAGGGTATTCAGGTAAAAAGTTGAATTTTTTTGCCTAAATGGGTTCAGAGGGGATTTTTTGGTCATAACATTTTTTAGTGAAAGTCGATGATTTAAATTTTTTTAGAAAAAATGTTTAGTGATAACTTTTTGGTTCTAAATGAAATTCGAGGGTCAAACACCTAAAGGTTGCTGAAGCATTTTTGTAGCGATGGAAAATGGGTTTTAGCGACCAAATCATTGAGTTAAATATTAAATCGAAACCATTTCTTAATTTTGACATTTTGGGAGCTAGAAATGTTCGTTTAATGTGATTTCCTCCCGTCTTTTTGGCCATTGTGTGCTCTTATTATTACTTTTAGAAGTAAGTTACTACCAAATAATTAGAGTATATATAACGTAACTTATTTTCTAGTTTACTTCAGTTTTAGCATCTATAATTATACTATCAACAATTGTGTACGAAAATTAGAAACTATCGCATCTGTACATGAATAAAAAAGAAGCAGACATCGAAGATAGTTATGAGGAAAAATCAACTTAAACTAAATTATCAAAATAAGAGTTGAAAAAGAAAGTGACTCATTTTATTTGATAGCAAATTTCATTCTTGTACAATATAAAAGTAGATAAAACGTGATTATAATATTATCCATCATCCAATCCATTCGTTTATTCGCATCAAACAACAATAAGTCGATATTTTATCCACTCATATGTAATATATTTTCGATTCACCGATATGCGATATAACTCGTCCATTATCCTTCACTAGTCATGGCACATGAAAAATGTAATAGTTAATTACTAATAAGTTCACAAAATTGGTTTAGAAAGTTTTTGAATTTTTAACTGTGACACAGTAGGGATGTCAGGCTTTGGGAAAGAAAAGGTCTAGGGATTTGAGATCGAAGGGGATTGGGGCTTTGAAAAGCTTGGAGTTTGGGTCTTTGAAAAGCTAGCGGCTAGGGGCTTTGATAAACTAGGGGTCTGGGGCTTTGAAAAACTAGGAGTCTCGGGCTTTGAGAAAAAAAGGGTCTTGGGTTTTGAGAAAGAAGGTATTTCGGGCTTTGAAAAACTAGGGGTCTCTGGCTTTGAAAAAGAAGGTTTCTCTGGCTTTGAGAAAGAAGGGATCTCCGGCTTTGAGGAAGTAGGAGTATGGGGATTTGAGAAAGAAGGAATCTCGGGCTTTGAGAAACTAGGGGTATCAGGCTTTAAGAAACTAGGTGTCTTAGGCTTTGTGAAAGTAGGAGTCTCGGGTTTTGAGAAAGAAGGGGTCTCGGGCTTTGAGAAAGAAGGTTTCTGTGGCTTTGAGAAAGAAGGGATCTCCGGCTTTGACAAAGATGGTTTTTCTGGCTTTGAAAAAGAAGGGGTCTCTGACTTTGAGGAACTAGGGGTTTGGTGCTTTGAAAAACTAGGGGTCTTGGGCTTTGTGAAACTAGGGATCTTGGGCTTAGAGAAAGTAGGGGTCTCGGGCTTTGAAAGACTAGTGGTTTTGGGCTTTGAGAAAGAAGGTTTCTGTGGCTTTGAGAAAGAGAAAGTCTCGGGCTTTGAGAAACTAGGTGTTTCAGGCTTTGAGAAACTAGAGGTCTGTAGAATATGACGTGCACTTGTAGTAGTTATCATGTTGTCATGCATGAAGTAGATAAATGCAAGCAATAAGATTGAGGACATGTAGTTATGTTGAGCCATTTTTCTTTAGACAGAAGAAGCTTTGACAAAGTATTTGTTTAGAGCAAATGAAAATTTTATATTCTAATAGTTTTCTATTTGTCTATATATATAGGTTGTAGATGCATCCATAAAGGAGGATTTCACTCATTAATATGTTAGTTGACCTACTTGTGTGCCAGTATTATAGTATCTAGAATTTGTCTTACGATATTAATATTGTAGTATCTTTAATATCTCTAGAATAAAGGAATTCCCAAATCACTAACTTATCTTAGATTATGATGGAAACAAACATTTCTTAAAATACTTATTATTTATTCATCACCTTTATATTGTTAATAAAAAAATAATTTATATGTCTTTTCTATATTTGTATCTTTTCTCTTTGAATAAAATGAAATAAGAAGTGGGTATTAGAGAGACACCTCATGCCTTAATCAAATATAGTCGAACTTGACAGTAATGTTGGTTCCCCCTTTTAAGAACTATAATCATTAAATATTTGAATAAATATTTTTAGAATAAAACTATAAAACTAACTCACTCATATTTGATAAGGCATGTTAAACTAAATATTGTGTTTTAATTTTAACTTGAATTAAGTAGTGTATTTTTATTTCTAAAAATATTGAAGTAATTATTGATAAGTTAATTTGTTTTGGAGAAACTATTAAATTTAAATATGAATACTTAGAAATTGTGATCAATGCTATACAAAATATATAATATTATTATTAGTAAATTGCTATTACAACTACTTTTTTTCTCCACGATGTAGTGATAGTGTCAGCATAAACTCTATCCTCTCCAAATCTTATTAGCGGGATTTCACCGGATATGTATGGATTTCAATATTCTTTCATGTTTCATCTCATATTTTAGTTGAACTCATTTTAACACTTTCCTTATTCTATAATTTTTTTGTGCTTCCTTTCTCTTTCGTGTTTTTGAAAGAAATCGATTACACCTCTTAAAGGTTACCTAAATAGTATGTTAAACATGAATTAGATGACTACTAATTCAAAGATTGAGTCTTTGTTTATATTTTAAATTTTATTGTTTTAAGGAATAACAAAACTAAAAGGTCTGCATGTAGGCCTGTGCAAAAAACGGGTAAAACCATTAATTCGAATCGATTTTCGGTTTATTGGGTTAACGGGTCGGGCTATTGGTTAATTTGTTCGGGGACCGGTTCACTATCTCTTTTAATTGGATTAACGGTTCAAGTGACGGGTTTGGGAAGGAAATATCCCGGGTACCCAATTACCCGACTTTTCCCCCCTAATTTCTAATTTTCTATCACAATTAGGTTAGGAAGTAGAAACCTTCTGGCTTCTTCTCAATTTCCCGCCGCTCTCTCCAAAGTTTCTCCAATTTCCAAACTCCGGTGAGGCGAGTCGGCGACGACTAACCAACGAGTAACTCAGGCGTCCGGCGAGGCGACAACTACTCTCTAGTCACTCGGGCGAGGACGGAACTCACGTCTCACAAGGTAACGACTAATAATGACATCTCAGTCCTCAAGAGTCAAGCTGTAATTTCTGTATTCGTTGATTTCGTTCCATTTATCATCATTTCATGACCTTCTTCTCAGTTTCCGCATGTATGATGGCCCAAGGCTATTCGTTCCAACGACTAACTTGACTTGTTTTGGGTGCTACGAGTTGTCTGAGTACCCTACTAATTAATTTGCTGTAATGTCGACATAAATCCTTTATCTGCTCCTCTCCAATTTTCAAATAATTTTGCTGGTATTTGGTGTAAGTTTTGTCTGGATTATAAATTAGCCATTGTATAGTGGGAATGCTTACACAGTTTATTTCACTATAAAAAGTGAAAACTTATCACTTAGCACTTAGCAATGGGCAAAAAATGTACCTTTTATCCCATTACTTCTTGGATTTGTGACACATCAGTCAAAATTCCATGCATAATTTCACCAATATTCAGTTCTGTGTCAAAAAATCCTATGTCCTTTCGCAAAACAACTCTAATTAGCCAACTGATTGTACTTGGTAGTTTTTGCTTGAATAAAGCTACTTACTCTTTTTTTAGTTCCTTCAAGGCTTCAATAATTCATTGCTTCATCTAGATCTTATAAAAAATATTCAATAAACGATTATGGCATATTTTTTCGCAGTTTTTGGTGAAAGTATCATGGCTGAAAATGTCATAACTGATAAGGTTGTTGGTGAAAGTGGAGCTTCTAATTCAAATGCAATAAATCAAAGTCAAATTGTTGAGTCTCAAGTAAAGAAAGGGAGGAAAAAAGATCTCGTGCGTGAGATCATTTTTCTCGTAAAACTGATTCTGATAGAAATGAAAAGGGTGTTTGCAACTACTGTAAGAAAGAGTATTTTGCTGATACAAAAGAACATGGTATGACGTCAATGCTTACTCATATATCCAAATGCCCTAAGATGCCTTATAACATTGATATTAGACAATCAAGATTAGCATTTCAACCAATGATAGGTGGTAACAAGGGTGATGTAGTTGTTGTTCCATGGAAATTTGATCAGGAAGAGTGTAGAAAGGCCTTGTGTCGTATGGTAATTATTGATGAACTTCCTTTTAGATTTCTTGAAAAAGAAGGTTTTAAACAATTTATGAAAGTAGCACAACCTTGTTTCCACATTCCTTACACTGTGACTCGTGATTGTTTTAATCTTTTTGATGAAGAAAAACACAAATTGATGGCTATTTTTAAGGGAACAAAACAAAGGGTGTCTTTAACCACTGATACTTGGACTTCCATACAAAGAATTAATTGTATGGTCATTACTGCTCATTGGATTGATAAAAAAATTGGACTTTGCATAAAAAAATTATCAATTTTTGTCCAATCACTAGTCATAGAGGTGAAGATCTTGGAAAGTCTATTAGTAAGTGCTTACAAGAGTGGGGATTGCATCACATTTTCACTGTTACAGTTGATAATGCTGGTTCAAATAGTGTGGCAATAACTGAGTGTTCTAAGCAATTAACTAAATGGGGGACCAACCTAATGGGTGGTAGTCACCTTCATATAAAGTGTATGGCTCACATTGTAAATCTTATTGTTCAAGACGGTACAAAAGAAGCAAATGTATCTATTGAACGAGTTAGGCAAGCAATGAGATACATCAGACAATCTCCTGCTAGGTGGAAAAAGTTTGAACGAGTTAGGCAAGCAATGAGATACATCAGACAATCTCCTGCTAGGAGGAAAAAGTTTCAAGAATGTTGTGAAGATGAAAATCTTGCTAAAAAGTCTTTATGCTTGGATGTTCCTACAAGGTGGAATTCAACCTACATGATGTTGAAGCGGGTAATTGAATATGAAGGTGCAATTGTAGAGTACGCCGATCGTGATATTGGCTTGACACTACATCTTAAGTTTGTTGATATGGTGAATCAAAATTCTACAGGTACACTTTTGAGTAGTGATTTGGAGGGCGTAAAGCGAATCACAAAATTTCTTGAAATGTTTTTTAATCTTACTTTGAAGATATCTGGATCACGATATGTTACATCAAATCATCATTTTCTTGAAATTTGTCAAGTTGGTATTTACTTGAATCAATTGATATCAAATGGATCATGTTTTGGCTAAAATGGCGGAAAATATGAAGGAGAAATTTGATAAATATTGGGGTGATACTGAAAAAATGAATAAAATGGTTTTTATACCATGTGTTTTGGATCCTCGTTACAAATTTATCACTCTTGGCTTTGCACTTAGGAAGATGTTTGGAGAAAAAGGGGCTGCTTTAGAAATCGTTGTGCGAACATACATGGAATCTTTGTTTAATGAGTATACAAAGCCTGTTGATTTTGATAAAAATGGCCAATTTTCTTCAACTGAGGTGGATACTTCTGATTCAAGGTCTGGAGGAGAATTTAGAAATTTTTTTGAGGAATTACAAAAATATACATCTGAAAAAGGAGGAGCAAGTTCAAAGTTAGAATTAGTTAAGTATCTTGATGAAGAAATTGAAGTTGGAAAATCAGATTTTGATGTGTTGCTTTGGTGGAAAGTTAACTCCCCTAGATTTCCAATTCTTTTTGAGATGGCTCGAGATGTGTTGTCTATTCCCGTTTCAAATGTGGCGTCTGAATGTGCTTTTAGTACTGGAGGACACATACTTGATTCGTTTAGGAGTTCATTAACTCCTAAATTGGTACAAGCTCTAGTGTGCCTTCAAGATTGGCTTCGAAGTGAGCCACAACCCATAAGTATTGAGGAAGATTTGGATTTTCTTGAGCAACTTGAAGAAGGTAAAAAAAGAACCTCATTGATGTAAAACTGTGAATAGTTTATTCTATATTTTTATTTTTTAAGTCTTGAGCCTTGACTTGTTATATTTGTCTTTAGATTTGGCAAAACATGGAAACGAACTTTGCATTGATGACATGTAAAATTGGAGGTTTCCTTCACTAACTCTACTAAAGGAAAAGGAAGGTAGATGTCTTAATATTGAGGTGGTCTCTTATATTACATCATACATGTGTTATTTATTATCTTGTCTTTATGCATGATTTATGATTGACTTCTCTTTTCTGATGACTAATGAGTATGTTATTATGGTTGATACAAATATTTGTGCAAAGCTCCCAGTAGAATTTGGTGTTTTGTATCAGTTTATCACTTTATCTTGACTTATCTTTCATTTTAATCATTAAAATATCTAATGCTTTCTCTGTTTCTTTGTTCAGATTTCATCATGCCTCAACTTCATGGTTCTAATGCTCGATCACCTATTTGGAATCATTATGAAAAACTTGAAGAAAAAGAAGATGGATCGTGGACAGTGAAATGTATTCATTGTGGTCGTGTTGCTTATTACCATTCGCACTATAATGGAACTGCCTCCTTAAGAAATCATGTTAAACGTTGTTTGAAAACAAGAAACCAGAATCGTTAACCCGCAAGAATTGATTACTAGCTATTATTTTGTTTACTTGAATGTGAAATATTAGTACTATGTTTGGACTAAATTTTCAATTTGTGTGACTGCTATTTTGAATTTTTGAAA